CCGGTGCCCAGCGCCAACGCCGGCCTCAAAAATGTCAACTGCACCTGCCGCCGGTAGATCGGAGCTGGGCGTCTCACGAAAATCTGTACATGGCTTTGTCTGAACATAGGCTACAAAATTTGGTTCATGTATAAAACCAGCAATTTAGGGATACAGTAAACCGTATACAGTAACATCGTATAACCTGTCCTCGACAAAGCCACATTGCTTGAAAATAAAACCAGTTTCGAGTAGGGCAGGTGCCTTCTTTGGAAACATAGGAACATATGGAACATATGTTTGAGGACTAGCAATTGGATACTCGAGCCTCTGTATGTCGCATGTTCAAGGTGAAAGATCCATGTATCTGATTTTGACACGTACCTGCCATACTCCATTTGTACAGTAGCGTCCAAACACGTCCAAACCACCCCAACAGTACCTCTGGGTGCTTGGCGGTGCTTGGGCCCATTAGAATCATTAAATGCATGTGCAACATCTGGATGTATTTCCTTCTGCCGGATGCTGTCTTGAGTGACGGTGTCATCAAGACGGAGACACTACGGTTTGACGTCCAAGTGGACTGGCAGCAGTGTGTAGATCATTTCAATAACCAGGGATTGTTTTAATGAAGGGACTGCAGGTATTGGTGAGAGTTATACGTGTTATACACCATCTCATGCCACCTGACTTTGAAACTACAGGATAGTAAATCACGGATCCCTACAATCCTACAGTAGTTGGCCATATTGATTCAGCGGTGCTGTAACTGCGGCGTAACTATCAACCAGGTTATTTTGACTATCTAGTTTAGGGTATGATTATAAATTATAACCCATAGGGAAACTTATCAATGAAAAAACAACAAGTATATATAATGATAATGAGATGGGATTGGAGAATTCTTAATGCCAGCCCACATGATTTCGGAGGCCAATGTCACGAGGCTCAAAAATTGGTGACAAAATGGCGGCATGCGTCGCGGCAACAGGGATTTCACTGCGCCCAGGTGCAAAGTTGCAGATCCAGCGCAGCTCTGCACACAGAACTTCGACAGCGCGAAAGCAAAGGTTGTCCCACCCAAAAGGACTGTGAAGGCAGGACTTCAAATATGTTGAGAGCATGATCCGGAAAATATGGAACATATGCTTGAGGACTAGCAATTAGATACTCGAACCTCTGTATGTCGCATGTTCAAGGTGAAAGATCCATGTGCTGATTTTGACACGTACCTGCCATACTCCATTTGTACAGTAGCGTCCAAACCACCCAACAGTACCTCGAGGTGCTTGGGCCCATTAGAATCATTAGATGCATGTGCAACATCTGGATGTATTTCCTTCTGCCGGATGCTGTCTTGAGTGACGGTGTCATCAAGACGGAGACACTACGGTTTGACGTCCAAGTGGACTGGCAGCAGTGTGTAGATCATTTCAATAACCAGGGATTGTTTTAATGAAGGGACTGCAGGTATTGGTGAGAGTTATACGTGTTATACACCATCTCATGCCACCTGACTTTGAAACTACAGGATAGTAAATCACGGATCCCTACAATCCTACAGTAGTTGGCCATATTGATTCAGTGGTGCTGTAACTGCGGCGTAACTATCAACCAGGTTATTTTGACTATCTAGTTTAGGGTATGATTATAAATTATAACCCATAGGGAAACTTATCAATGAAAAAACAACAAGTATATATAATGATAATGAGATGGGATTGGAGAATTCTTAATGCCAGCCCACATGATTTCGGAGGCCAATGTCACGAGGCTCAAAAATTGGTGACAAAATGGCGGCATGCGTCGCGGCAACAGGGATTTCACTGCGCCCAGGTGCAAAGTTGCAGATCCAGCGCAGCTCTGCACACAGAACTTCGACAGCGCGAAAGCAAAGGTTGTCCCACCCAAAAGGACTGTGAAGGCAGGACTTCAAATATGTTGAGAGCATGATCCAGAAAATATGGAACATATGCTTGAGGACTAGCAATTAGATACTCGAACCTCTGTATGTCGCATGTTCAAGGTGAAAGATCCATGTGCTGATTTTGACACGTACCTGCAATACTCCATTTGTACAGTAGCGTCCAAACCACCCAACAGTACCTCGAGGTGCTTGGGCCCATTAGAATCATTAGATGCATGTGCAACATCTGGATGTATTTCCTTCTGCCGGATGCTGTCTTGAGTGACGGTGTCATCAAGACGGAGACACTACGGTTTGACGTCCAAGTGGACTGGCAGCAGTGTGTAGATCATTTCAATAACCAGGGATTGTTTTAATGAAGGGACTGCAGGTATTGGTGAGAGTTATACGTGTTATACACCATCTCATGCCACCTGACTTTGAAACTACAGGATAGTAAATCACGGATCCCTACAATCCTACAGTAGTTGGCCATATTGATTCAGTGGTGCTGTAACTGTGGCGTAACTATCAACCAGGTTATTTTGACTATCTAGTTTAGGGTATGATTATAAATTAATTATAACCCATAGGGAAACTTATCAATGAAAAAACAACAAGTATATATAATGATAATGAGATGGGATTGGAGAATTCTTAATGCCAGCCCACATGATTTCGGAGGCCAATGTCACGAGGCTCAAAAATTGGTGACAAAAAGGCGGCATGCGTCGCGGCAACAGGGATTTCACTGCGCCCAGGTGCAAAGTTGCAGATCCAGCGCAGCTCTGACAGAACTTCGACAGCGCGAAAGCAAAGGTTGTCCCACCCAAAAGGACTGTGAAGGCAGGACTTCAAATATATCACATCATATTATACTCCATTATATCCCGTTCTATTCTCATGTTGACAGTTTTACCCCCATTCCGGAGGTTCTTTTGGGAGCTCAGCATCCTTCATCCAATCGACCTGCTTTTTCGTCCTTCTGTTGTAAGTTCCTCAAGAAGTCTCCGAAGCGTTCCTCCCATTCCTGCGCAAAACTCGTCGAGCGACTTGTTGTCTAGATTCCCAAAATCATAATACGAGTACGACATGTACCCTCTGGTAAACTAACATAGCTATGAATAGATGGTTTACCTATTAAAAATGGTGATTTTCTATAGCTATATTAAATTACCAGAGGGTATATGGAAAACCCACCCTGGTAGATCATGTTCTACCGTAAACAACCATGGATTTTCACTACTCACCGTCGGATTTTCCGATATCATCGCTGTCATCGATATCTAGCTCACCTAGATGGGCCATGGACTTAGTTAGTTGCTTAGCAACTAGGTTCTATTCTATCTCCCTACTGGGTATATCTTGGGTCCAGTCACCACTCACTATGCAGTTTCCAGTCAACGAGGTCCATGGTCTCAATTCATTTTGACCCAACATTTCTGGGGGTTGGAAAAAACCCTGGTCTCTGCCTAACAAAAAGCTACCAACCATTAATTTTAGCAAAAAGATATGGAAATCCATGGGAAATGGATGTTTCCCATCGAGAAAATAATCTACGTTCAGGGTGGGTTTTCCATATCTGCGTTTCTATGACTAGTTTATTTCGAGGGTAGGATATGTTGTGAATTCCACCCACAATTTACGCCATGTCATGTCTGCAGCCCAAGTCCTCTGCGTTATATGCTCGGACCTCAGATATCACGGAGATATCCGGGGTGATATCCCCAGCAACTGCTTGGGCAAACAGAAAAACTGCTTGGTGGTTGAGCCATCCCCAGGAAAAAAAAAGTTTAGCAGTTTAGCCATTGATTATATATTCGAGAAGATCCTCTAAAATAAAACGCATTTGAAGTAACCAACATCTGCGGGCATTCAAAATCATCTCACGCGGAATTCAGGCATCAACAACCCTACCTTTTTGGGGTCAAACGAGCCCCAATATGCTCAGCGCCCAAAGTGGAATGATAGTCCTCAGCCCCTCACCCAACAACTGGCAGCAGAATTTTATGGTCCCAGGTGCCCGCGAGTAGTTGCGAACTTCACCCAGCTTTCCGCCATGCAAGGTGCTGCTGGATGGCAAGCTGGGGATGGGACCTCAAGGATCCCAGTTTTCCACCCCAAAAAAGGGGGCCAACTTGGTGAACTTGCTGGGCCCATCCGTAAAGCTTTCCAGAAATGCGGAAGATGAAAAACTTGAGAGTTGAATTCTTTTGCAGCACCGCAAGGATTTCAGGTACTAAACAAAAACTCAGAAGAATCTCAGTGGAAATTGCCTAAAATCGAACAGTTTTGCGACCTATGGAAGCGAATCTGAATCTTTCCCACCTCAGGAATTGATGACTTCAAAACACCCCGACGGACCAAGTGATGAGCTACTTGGTTGGGACTATCGAGCATCATTTCATCCACATGCATATACATATTATCATATCTATGTAACCAAACATTTATACTATATTATATACCATGGGTTGTAATATATAATTATATATATATGTGTAAATGTAATGTCAGTATATGGATAGCACGAGTCGAAACCGGAACTCAACATTCTCCACGAGATTCCCCATTGGACTCTTGGACCGTTCCAAAGCGAGCAGCTCACCATTTCGGGTGCCACCCAGTTGTAGCGTTGCGCGGGCGGCGGCGAAGCTCGCGCTCGCGAGACGCTGGCAGCACAACCCATGGCGGCACACGGCAGGTTGGATCCAATTCGAGCCTCGACCTGTTCGAGTGACATTGATATGACTCATTGGTTACTCCAAGAACCACGGCGAATCCGCACTCGAAAATCAGAAAAGCGATCCAGGTCGCACGTTTTTTGGTTCAGTCTTGATTGTTGGTGTATTTAATCACGAGTTTTGATGCTTCAGTGTCCATATCCTCATGTGTGAGAGTTCCATCTTATATTATTGCTTTAGTTTCACCGTTTTTTAATGTTTTGTCCATGGTTGTTCTAGATTTTTCGGCTTTTTATCGTAGTTTTTCATGATTCCATCTCAAAGATCCTAGGTTCTTCATCCTAAATTATGGTGGTTTTTCATGATTTCTCAAAGTATCTGGATGTCAAAAGACATGTTCTACCAGCATCTCTCCATCACCCTGACCGGACCTGAGATTCTCCTTCGAGACGCGACCACTGATGCGGCCAGGTGCCACCTCCTGTGCACCACGTGCACCCATAATATGACACATCCCGAGCCGAAGAATCCCATCCACATGACATACCTATGGTTTATGCTAGATATAACCAGAGTTAATGGATGTTAATGGGGGTAAACCAACTTATAACTGCTCCATCCTGTACGCCTTTTAAGAGATCCCAAAATGCAGTTACTGAACCAGGAGTTCTGGCGGTGGTATTTACTATTATCTAGGGGGATTCATGTGGTAAAACCCGGTAATCCGGATTTCACCAATGAATCATGGGGGTAGAGACCCCTGATCCCCTCGAATTGTGGGATGATATACATATCTATACATCATAATCCAGAAGCCCCAGTGTAACACAGGCAGTAGAACCCCATGTTTCAACATCAACCAATATCAACCACCAAACAATTGCGGCTCTTCCCAGGAGTCGACAACTAAATCAGGCATTGGAACCCACGAAATCAGGGGATTATCCAATCAAGTTCGGGGATTTCGGCAAGAAACATGTTTGGTTTGAAAACAGACGTGTGGAATTTCAGCATCAACCATATCAACCATATCAACCACCCTACATGTTGTGGCTTCTGATTCCATCAACAAAAAAGAACAAATGACTAACATATACACATGTAGGATATCAATTTCATTAATATTGATGTCATGGTGGAAGCCACCCACATATACCTTCTGATTTTCATTAAATTTCTATGGAAAATTCCATATGACTTGACCAACAGCATGAGAGATGTAGCCTCTAAAACCAACGTCCACCATCCCCTTTCAGGGGTAACCACTGGACCCACCCAGGAACCCCAGGGCCCGTGGTCCGCGGGTCCCCAGGTTGGTGTCCTCCTCGATGAACTTAAAATTTAGCAAGAGGCTGGCCTGGCAAAGCCGGTCATCACAGCCCTCGGTATGAGCCACTGGGATCATCATGATCAGCCCATAAAAAAAACATCACTTCACATGGATCAGCAGTATCAGTAGCCCATATTTTACAGGTCATCTCATGGTCAAAATATTGGCATGGTCATAAATTACTGGCTGGGATCATCATGATCAGCCTATATTTTTGAAAGGTTTCTTCAACCCCTTCTGGTTGAGCTCGGCCTTGTTCCGCCAGATGGTGGTGCAAATCTGCTCCATGAGGTCTAAACCTTGGTGCCCCGAGGACCAGCCGCGGATACACTTGGTGTGGCAAAAAAAACGTAAAACCACGGGTGAAAAAAAGCAGGTTCAACATGTTCTACCCTCTGGTAAATAAACAGTTTGCGAACTGGAAAATGGCCATGGAAATAGTTGATAAAAACCCATTAAAAATGGTGATGTTCCATAGTTTTTTGTATGTTTACCAGAGGGTAACCCCCAGAAATGTTGCTATCACCATGGTAAAAGCCCTAGAGATGTCGGGCAGATGGCCGATGATCGGCCATCCCCTGCAGCCATCCCATGCTGGTTGGTGGTTTCAACCCCTCTGAAAAATATTACAGTAGTCAGTTGGGATGATGACATTCCCAATATATCAAAAAATAATCCAAATGTTCCAAACCACCAACCAGATATAATATCATATGATATTATATGATATTATATTCTATATGTGCATGTATATAATTACATACATATTTGTGCGTGTGTGTGTGTCCCTAAAAAGTTATTTTTGGGTCAGTTGTACCGTCTTAGAGTCACCACTGAACTTTGAAACCCAGGCAAGCCATCATTCAGAAGCAACCCGACAATGGTGTGGACCAGTTTACCAAATAGTTGAGATGCTGTGGATCGACTTCATCTCATAGTTTCAGAGAATTGTCATTTCATGCAATTTCTAGGTTCCCGACTCGTCCATTCTTTTCTACTTTACCCTCTGGTAATTTCACATAGCTATTGAAAATTGCCCATTTATAGTTGATTTACCCATTGAAGATGGTGACTTTCCATGGCTATATTAGTTTACCAGAGGGTAGCGGCTTTCAACCCGGTAAAAAATGCAGTCCTTGGTCTCCATGCGCAAGCCGCGACCTGGTGTCCTCTGGTATCGTCTGGAAAAAAAACCCTCATCCCACGGGGGAATCCTTAAGATACTGGGGACCCGAAACGATAGTTAATGGTTAATTAGGGAATAGATCTATAGTTAATTGGGGAATATATCTATAGTTAATTGGGGAATATATCTATAGTTCATTGGGAATATATCTATAGTTAATTGGTAATATATCTACCATTGGGAATATAAGTATAGTTAAGTAAAGCTAAGTTGGCTTCAAGCTTGGTATAGTTAATCTGGTTTACACACCAACTAATATAACCCAAGATAGCGGTGATAATGAATCCCGGTAAATGCAGGATGACACATATGGGTCTTTTTCGGGGGGGTGGCATTTGGGCATCAAAAATCAGGGGAAAATAACTATAGTAATGGAGGTATAAAACCAACTCGAATGGTGATCTGCTTCGCAGGATGTCTTATGGGATTTAGGGCCAACTAAATCCAACTAATATATGTCTGAAAATAGGCTATACCCTTGCCCTAAAGGGCCATGGACACCCAAAAAGGCTGGTTTCTCGAGACAAAATTCACCATTCGATTTAGAGTATCTTTAGGCACGACATGATTTAGGCCAAACCTCTTGGTTTCTTGGTGCTACATATTGTGTATATATATAATATATATATATATTATATATATATTATACATGTATATATTATACATGTATATGTTGCGTTGGTATTTAACATTATACACTGAAACTATCATTTAGGGAGATTTATAATTTTGAGCCATATCCTAAATTAGCTTTGAAGTTTCTGGCTTTCAGAAACCACCCACGCAACGCGACGCATCATATGGCTCCTATCCACTGGCTGAAAGGCGTGCAAGAACCTCATTGCTGGTCTGGCTTGAAGATCTTGAAGCCATCCCAGTGCATTATGTCTGAAGCCCCATTTATGGAATGTAGAATCCCATTGAAATAACCAGTTATTTCACGATTTATACTTGATAAACGAAAGGTTTTGTGGTTCCAGATTGCTTCAGAAAGTGGGATTGGGATTGTGATGGATTGGATCGATGATTCTAACGAAAAATCCCGCCCAAAACGAGATGGTTTCGGTGACCCCTTTGCCTAAGGGATGAACTCCCGAAACCCGAAACTGTAGAAAACCCGAAACTGTCCTCACGTTAAATCCAGCTTGACTAGAAAATCCCGCAGTATATTTAAGTACTAAGACTATATAGATCTATATAGTGGATGACTCTGTATCAAAAATCCATGTTTCCCCAACCAGCCATGTTTCAAGTTGGCTTTGCAAGCTGAAAACCATTGGCTTCACCATGAAACTTCAGCGTCCTGCCCCAATGGTCTCTTCATCCGTGATGGTCGGGTCTCCAATAAAATGAGATCAAGAATCCATCACAAAATCCCATGTCTATCTCAGAATCCCATAAAAGCCATAAAATATAAATTGTGTCAATCACATTCTCCAATTCCATCGAAATCCCAGAAAATCGCCATGTCATTTTCCATCAAATCTGGAAAATTCCCTCACGCTCCGAAAAAAAAAGAAAATTCTCCGCGAGTCTCTGGGATCCCAGGCTCCAAGTAGTTCACCAGGCCATCCCCCGAGATATCCACCAAGTCCACGAGCCTGTGATGGTACTGTAACGCCATGTGCATTTTTTTTATCAGAAAATGACATCTCCAGATCCCTGTTATGGCTGTTATGGTTACCATAAAAATGGAGATGGTTGGTTTGATTAAAAACTCTGATTGGTAAGCATTTTTATTGGGATCTCCTGTTATGGTTGGGTTTATCTCAATAAAAACTCTGGAACCACACCTGGGACAGTGAAAAAAGTGACATCGCGGTTCTGGGTTTCATCAAAATTCATCCCAGCCTGGGTCTGGTTTTTTTTTAAGGCCTGGCTGGTGAGGTGTAGATGCTAGGAATCATTTTATCGGCCTGGGGATACACCATTTTCACCCACACGGCCCATATGAAAGTTGAGAGCATTCTGTCACTTTCGGGGATGGACACCTCCAATAAACAAGAAAATTACGAGCCGGCTCTCCGCAAGGTTGCTGGTTTCAAGCCACCCCAAGAACAGAAGTGAATTGGGACCTTTGTGCCATTTGTTCACCGGAAGATGAAAGCACCAACCAGCGACCCATTCAACAGCCAAAACATGGCAAAACCCCTTCCCCAAGGTCTGGTAAGGCATCCGAACCGAAAAAAAAAATAGGATGCTCCATTGCCATATTTGGTTACACAACTTCTGGGTCAAACCTGGCTTTCCTTTTCCCAAAATTGCTCATATCCTGTATGAAAACCTTGCAGGTTACATCCCCACATTAGCCCACCTTTGCAACCCAGCGAAAGGTTCCAGCAAGGTTCCAAGACTGCTCCGGTTTTTCGGGGTGTGCATTTTCATGTCACCAGTCCCCGGCCCCAGAGACTGAAACCCAACAGATTCGCTGTTGGGAATTTGCTGCTGAAACCCTGATTTTCGCTTCCAAGTTTTGCCTTGTGAACTCTGCCAAGCTCTGAAAATCCCTGAAAAAAAACATGTTTGATCAATCCCAAACTTACCCTCTGGTAATTTAACATAGCTATTGGAAATGGCCATTCATAGTTGATTTTCCCATTAAACATTGGCATTTTCAATAGCTATGTTAAATTACCAGAGGGTATCCATTTTCCATTGATTCATACCCCTCAGCCACATTTTCAAGCCCCAAACAGAACGCCCGCAACAAGCAAACCCAGCGGCTCGCTAATGCGGCCATCGGAGGCACTCTCAGCCTCCGGCAGGTCACCATGAGGACATCTGCTTTGTATGATTCCTGTATGATATCTCCGTGTATTTTTGCTACTATATATCATATAGACTAAGGATGATAGACAATATATACATATATCATATTATATATCCATATAGCATATTATATATCCATGTAGCATATTGCATGTATATATATATACACATAATGTGTGTATATATATATATTTACATACATAATCATATTTATATATATATAAACCCGTTCTTTACATTTCTATCCTAAATAGAGTTGGTACAAATGCATCCATCTCCACCCCATCGAATCCGGGATTCGGGTATTCCGAGTGGCAGTGAGCATCTCTGGCAGATCCTCCAGCGGCTGATTGGTGGTTGACCTACCCCTCTGAAAAATATGAGTTCGTCAGTTGGGATGATGACCAATAGATGGAAAAATAATCCAAATGTTCCAGTCACAACCAACCAGATAGGGTGACCTGTCCAATTATTGAATAACACCAATTAATAGTTTAACAGTTTACATGAACTCAGTTATGGGACAGGTCACCAAAAGAGTGTTAACCAATTGTACCCCCATTCTTTCAAAATACCCCTTCGTATCAACTGGGCCTTGGCTAGTACACGGCGGTCCAAGTCCTGGTACCCTGGTAGGTCCAGTTATGCAGCTTGGTTACATCCCACTCAACAATGAGATGGACCCATAAAACTCGGTTATTGGGATCCATTTTGGACAGTTTTCCCAAAGCAAAAGTCCATGGCGGGGTCAGCTTTGGATTCTCAGCCACCCTTTTTTCGAAAAACACACCACTGGCGACGTTTCTCCACATCACTGGCTTGATCACCAGCAAAAAACTGAAGAGTTGCAGCTTTCAGCATTTCCAGAAAGGGATAAACCTCGTAGATGTATTTGTCTGAAAAAGATCTAGATGGAATTTTCTGGTTTGTTGCCTGTGAAAAAAAAAGTTCCAAAAATCCGCCATCTCCCCGGGAAGGTGACCCTTTTGTACTCGGCCAGTAGCTGCTTCACCGCCTCAGCCACCGAAAATATGCTGCTCGGGATCCAAGTTCCGACCCAACCTTCATCTTTCTAGGTATGCTGGTGGCATCCCTTCAGTGAGTTCTGAAACAACGAAAACATCTTGGATCATGACCTACCAAGATGAAGGCTTTGGGATTTTGGGGGGAGTATGGTCAGCATTGTTGGTTAGATGCCCCTTGCAAAAACTCGGGTTGGTGCTTCAAGTCCTTGGGTGTACTCAATGCTTCAGGATTAAAAAAATTGAGACCTGAATCAAATTCAGGATGTACTCCCAAAAAAAAAACATGGATGCCCTATGATGCCCTCCAAAATCTTCTTGAAAAACATGACGCAGCGCAGCCAAAAACTACGGAACCTGAGAAAATTCTTCCCGCTGTAACAGTCCATCGCCGTCCTGGCGGATTTCATGGAAGTGTCGTGGAAGTGTCGTGGCTTTATGGTCATTCCATGGGAAACCATAGTGACAGTCAAAGGTTCCCAGCAGGATGAGCATCCCCTTAATTTTTTATTAAAAATATACCATCCATCGTAAGTCGGTAAGTCAAAGACATGATTCACATTGATTCACCAGATACTACCCGGTTTTTTCCCCACTAAAACACAAAGCCAACCCGCCTGATCGAACTGTTTGAAGATGTCCAGCATCCGAGTCGAGGCGGCCTAGAGAGCGGTGCTTGCAAGGGCCGCAATACGATGAGCTGAAAGAAATGTGGACAAAATGGGTCGGATTAGCTAGTAACATACCAATAAGGGATAGAAACCAGATAACCCAGATGAATATAGCATACAAGTAAGTCATTCTACAGGGATGTGAACCTATCAAATAAAGGCTATGAGCCAGATACGCCGTGACTTACATCGAGAATGGGGATGCAAACCGTTTAAAATCAGGATGTGAGCTGTTAGCCGTACAAAATTGTGTGTCATCTACCCGAAAAAAGAATCAAAAACCTCTGGGTTTCTTTGAAAAATAGCTAGACCTCAAAAGATCCCATGGGTTTGACCGAAATAGGGTACCCCCCCATGCCAATGGCTTATCCTCATGTTCCCAAAATGGCTAAGTATCCCGGTATCCCCTATTTTCAGACAAGCCCCCATGGTCCAAAACCGTCATTTTCCCTACTTGGATGTGCATCCCACGAATCGTAAGTGCTTAAAATCATCGTCGATATATATGATATAACCCCTATAATCCTATCAGCGAAAATTATTCCACACATCATTGGAGATTTTTGACTCTCAGATGTGTTTCCCCCATTTCTGGGGGTTTTTGACATCATAAATCTGGGTAAATTATAATAATTCACCAACCTGAATAGTTCGGCCATTTGGGGATGATTCCCCTTATTAACCATGATTTCCAGTGAGGGAGAACAGTGAGGTCCTGATGAAATTTGGTTAATAATGATGATAGTTGGGCATTGATAACCATTAATGGTGATAATAAATGGTGATATTAATAGTGTTTTATTAAAGTATACTAACTATTAATGGTGATTAATATTGGTGATCATCATATAGGATATCACTGATATCACTATTAAAGTCATACATATATCACCATTAATAACAGTATATTAACCAAATAATGGATGATATAGTTCATTTACCCAGATAAATCCGCCCTAAAATTACCGGCCTTGGGAGAGCCATCAATGGCTTCCATCCACAGCAAGCGTCCCAGGCGGCTCAACACCGAGCGGGCCCAGGGGGAGGCCTGCACTGCCGCTCCCAAGATCTGAAGAAAACATCGAAAAAAACCAGGGAAAATCACCATTTTTCTTCGGTAAACCATAGAACATCACTATTTGTCGGTAAATCAATGTAAATCAACTATTTACGAGGTAAATTTTACACTATGGGGCAGCATCATGGGGATAGGATGGGATATAACTCATCAAGAATATGATACTATGTGGTGGAGTTATTCCAGAGATGGAGGTATAAAACCAACCCTAGCAGTTATAAGTTGGTGTATAACCCCTATGCCTTTTAGATATATGTAGGGATAAAGCCTAGTTAGTTATTGGAGTCATGTTTCCACAATATGATGAAAAAAAAATCGTGTGATCCTAAATTCATATCCAATGAAATTCATAAGCCAGTTTCTGGAGGTTATTTTTAACACAGCAGCAATGATGGGTAGGATGTCACCATGACAGTCCGATGACAATCCCCCAGGGGGAATTTTGGGAGATATGATTCTATGGGAGCTACGTGTATGTTTATATATATATATATATCGATACAGTATAAACACAATGGGAATATTGAATGGTGTGTATATATACATAATGTATATATATATATAGTGGGGACAGTGAATGGGATATTTGATTGTGATATTTTTCATGGGATGTAGCGGGGTTTTTCCCAAGCGATGGCAATATGACGATATGGCAATTGTAGAGTGTACCCCGTGTACCCCCGAAAAAGATGCAGAAAAGGTGAATTGTACAACTGACTTGAGTAGGATTTTACTACTGCTCTATCTTTTCCAGGGTTGTTAGGGTTGCTGGTTTCCGATTGATTGGGATGTGTCATGATTCTTAGATAAATAATGATAGATAACGAATGTGATGTCCCCGAAAATGGTGGATGGGCCCAATTAAAAGGAAACTGATGATGAACCTCTGGATGAAATGGGGTTGTCCTATAACTTTCGGACGAGCCCACAAAAGGATGTAGCTGAGGTAGCCCCAAAATGATGTTCCCAAGGGAACGGACATCACCACTTTAAAAAACATCGGTGACTTCGCGATAAATTAGTGGCTTTTCAACATTCAACGGCGCGAAGCTTTCCAGCGTTCATCAGGTGTACAGACATGCGGGGACAGGTCAACATAAGTGTTGACCAACTTTGGATGGTTTGATGCTAAATCCAATTCAATAGCCGAGTCCATGTTATTCATAGATTCCCATCAAATAGTGGTTAGCTTGTCTGTATGATCCCATTTTGAATCAGTTTTGATACTTGAATTCCCCATGTTTGATGCTGGCCCCTCTGCTGATTGTGCGTCAACTTCCCATATTGGGCTTCCCATTGACTTCGCATTTACTAAACAAATGTTGTTTGCAATAACTAAAGTTGAGATGCTGGTGGTTAAGTCAATGCATGGCTACTCTTAGATATGCAAAAAAAGTATGTGTGTATATACATAATTATATGTATAGAAGATTATCGAAGTATCCAAGAGATATATCCATTATACATACATATATATATACATATACATATATAATACATATTGTATCCATTCATAGCAGAGGTATGAAAAGATCCAAGGTGGACCCAGTTGACCCAGTTGACTCCAATCCTTCTCTAGGCGCTTGTCAGGACCCTTCGAGTTCAAGCTCGCCTGCGGATATCACGTTGATGGGTTGATAGGTTGATTCGCCCAATTCCGTAACAGACCAAGATCCTGGTCATCCCATGCACTGCACTTCTTGATATCGTCAAACTGTAACATACTGTAACTGGAAAAAGAGATGCGTGACAAGTGTCTCACTAGAATCACTAGAAGGTAAAAGTGTACATGGGTCAAAAATGGTCAAAAGCCTGGTATTCTGATGCCACAAATGGTCAAAACAGACCAAAAGTGGGGATGGTCATCTGCTCAATTCATCTTCAATTTGGAAAAAACTTATTGGCCCCCGAAAAATGGTAGGGTTTTGGACCAATTCTGCAGCTACCAAAAGTTGATTCAAAAAAAAAAACAGTCATACCTTTCGGCATCCCCAAATCACCAGGCAAAATTCTGACATCCCACCTGTTGCTGGAAACAAATGTCCAAGCGAGAGAGGAACTCGAAGACTCCCAAGGGCCGCCCCACGGGCGAAGGGTCCTGACCAACCAGGGGACCAGTGAGGGAGCGACCATTGGGGAAAGCTGGTGGAAACCTTGGGATCAACCAGTTATCACAGGGTGCTACCCCCGTTTCTTGATCTTGATCTTGATGTTTCCAGTGAAGTTGGAATTATAAACCCAAAAAAAACTAAGCTAAGCTAACTAACTGGGGCACCATCATGTGGATAGAATCGGATATAGCTCATGAATTGATCATATGCAATGGAGTTATTCCAGAAATAGAGCAATTTATCATGCACGAAATATGATTGGGATATGTGCTGGAAAAAAAAATCTGATTGTTAGTCTATAATCCCCATTAACTATAGAGTACTATAGATATACCCTCTGGTTATGTCAAAATAGCTATTGAAAATGGCCATTAATAGTGGATTTTCCCATTAAAAATTGTGATTTTCCATAGCTATGTTAGTATACCAGAGGGTAACCCCATAAAAGCCCAGTGGAATTTAACTTCAGCCGCCGGGTTTCCCCGGGCTCCGGAAGGGCGTGCGCCGCCAGGGTGCGGAGGAGCGCCTTCGATTGCTCCTGCTATGACATATACAGGATATATAAATATGTGTGCATATGTATAAATATATATATATATGTGTGTGTATTTATATATATATATATATACATATTTGTATATGTATATTATATATATATATGGTGCAGCGTTGGCCACCCCCCCTCCCCCCCCCCACCAATGGGTATGGGTGGACAGTATCGTCTGGTTCTTCTGGCCCCCCCCTGTGGCCTGTGGTGGTGGTATGGTTCTTCTGGTCCCCCCCCCGCCCTGTGGCCTGTGGTGGTGGTATGGTTCTTCTGGTCCCCCTCCCCCTGTGGCCTGTGGTGGTGGTATGTTGGGTATGTTGGTATGTTGGTATGTTGGTATGTATGTATGTATGTATGTATGTATGTATGTATGTATGTATGTATGTATGTATGTATGTATGTATGTATGTATGTATGTATGTATGTATGTATGTATGTATGTATGTATGTATGGAATGTAAGGTAAGGTAATGTAAGGTAAGGTAAGGTAATGTAAGGTAAGGTAAGGTAATGGTATGTATGTATGTACGTAGGTATGTAGGTAGGTATGTATGTATGTATGTATGTATGTATGTATGGAATGTAAGGTAAGGTAATGTAAGGTAAGGTAATGTAAGGTAAGGTAATGTAATGGTATGTATGTATGTATGTACGTAGGTATGTAGGTAGGTAGGTAGGTAGGTAGGTATGTAGGTATGTATGTATGTATATACACCACATGGGGCATCATACCCCCCCCGGGGGGGTGGGAACACGGGACACGGGACCATATATATGTATATGTATATTTGTATATCCGCCGACCCTGGCCTTCGCCAAGGCCGGGGCGGCGCCTGGGACCACCGGAGGTGTGGATCCTGTCTTTCTTGAACCTTTGCCACGCCGTGGATCCTGTCTTTCTTGCACCTTTGCCACGCCCACACTGCAGGCAAACGCCATCACAAGGCCACAGCAATGGCTCAAGAGCACCCCACGGCCGCAGCAATGGCTTCTTTTATAGGCGTTCAAGGCTGCCTGCTGTTCCAGCGTTGCAGCCTGCCGTTTGCCTGCATAGCGCTCTGTCGTTAGGGCGTCCATGCCTCGGGCACGCCCGCAGGCAAAAGCCACCACAAGGCCACAGCAATGGCTCAAGGCATCCCCCCGGCCGCAGCAATGGCTTCGTATAGGCATTCAAGCCTGCCGTTTGCCAGCCTTCAAACCCTTACAATGCTTCCAATACTCCGCCGGCCGGTTGCACCAAGCCCTGTAGCCGTCAGCCCCTGCTGTTCCAGCGTTGCAGCCTGCCGTTTGCCTGCACAGAGCCCAAAACGCGCCACTCCCGCATGCACAACGCCCAACTTCGCAGGCAAACGGTACCCCAACAAGCCCAACAGGCGCCACGCCCGCAGGCAAAAGCCACCACAAGGCCACAGCAATGGCTCAAGGCATCCCCCCGGCCGCAGCAATGGCTTGTTATAGGCGTTCAAGGCTGCCGTTTGACAGGCTTCAAACCCTTAAAACCCTTCAAATGCCTTGCCGGCCGTTTGCCTGCATAGCGCTCTATCGTTAGGGCGTCCATGCCTCGGGCACGCCCGCAGGCAAAAGCCACCACAAGGCCACAGCAATGGCTCAAGGCATCCCCCCGGCCGCAGCAATGGCTTCTTATAGGCGTTCACGGCTGCCGTTTGACAGGCTTCAAACCCTTAAAACGCTTAAAATGCCTCGCCGGCCGTTTGCCTGCATAGCGCTCTGTTGTTAGGCGTCCATGCCTCGGGCACGCCCGCAGGCAAAAGCCACCACAAGGCCACAGCAATGGCTCAAGGCATCCCCCCGGCCGCAGCAATGGCTTGTTCTAGGCGTTCAAGGCTGCCGTTTGACAGGCTTCAAACTTCAAACCCTTACAACCCCTAAAATGCCTCGCCGGCCGTTTGCCTGCATAGCGCTCTGTCGTTAGGGCGTCCATGCCTCGGGCACGCCCGCAGGCAAAAGCCACCACAAGGCCACAGCAATGGCTCAAGGCATCCCCCCGGCCGCAGCAATGGCTTCTTATAGGCGTTCAAGGCTGCCGTTTGACAGGCTTCAAACCCTTAAAACCCCTAAAATGCCTCGCCGGCCGTTTGCCTGCATAGCGCTCTGTCGTTAGGGCGTCCATGCCTCGGGCACGCCCGCAGGCAAAAGCCACCACAAGGCCACAGCAATGGCTCAATGCATCCCCCCGGCCGCAGCAATGGCTTCTTATAGGCGTTCAAGGCTGCCGTTTGCCAGCCTTCAAACCCTTAAAACCCCTAAAATGCCTCGCCGGCCGTTTTGCCTGGCATAGCGCCTGCGTTAGGGCTTCCATGCCTCGGGCAACAGCCCTCAGGCAAAAGGCCACCACAAGGCCACAGCAATCGCTCAAGGCATCCCCCCGGCCGCAGCAATGGCTTCTTATAGGCGTTCAAGCCTGCCGTTAGCCAGCCTTCAAACCCTTAAAACCCCTAAAATGCCTCGCCGGCCGTTTGCCTGCATAGCGCTCTGTCGTTAGGGCGTCCATGCCTCGGGCACGCCCGCAGGCAAAAGCCACCACAAGGCCACAGCAATGGCTCAAGGCACCCCCCCGGCCGCAGCAATGGCTTCTTATAGGCGTTCAAGCCTGCCGTTTGCCAGCCTTCAAACCCTTCCCATACTCCGCCGCCGGTTGCACCAAGCCCTGTAAGCCTGCAAGCCCCTGCTGTCCCAGCGTTGCAGCCTGCCGTTTGCCTCACAGAAGCCCAACACGCTCCACTCCCCATGCACAACCGCCCAACTTTCGCAGGCAAACGCACCCCACAAGCCCAACAGGCGCCACGCCCGCAGGCAATAAGCCACCACAAGGCCACAGAATGCTCAAGGCATCCCCCCGGCCGCAAGCAAAGTGGCTTGTTATATAGGCGTTGCAAGGCGGCCGTTTGAACAGGCTTCAAACCCCTCTACAAACCGCCTAAAAATGCTTCGCCGGCCGTTGCCTGCATAGCGCTCTTTCTTTTTTTATTAGGGCGTCCCTTCCTGTTCACGCCCGCAGGCAAAAGCCACCACAAGGCCACAGCAATGGCTCAAGGCATCCCCCCGGCCGCAGCAATGGCTTCTTATAGGCGTTCAAGGCTGCCGTTTGCCAGCCTTCAAACCCTTAAAACCCCTAAAATGCCTCGCCGGCCGTTTGCCTGCCTAGCGCTCTGTCGTTAGGGCGTCCATGCCTCGGGCACGCCCGCAGGCAAAAGCCACCACAAGGCCACAGCAATGGCTCAAGGCATCCCCCCGGCCGCAGCAATGGCTTCTTATAGGCGTCAAGCCTGCCGTTTGCCAGCCTTCAAACCCTTAAAACCCCTAAAATGCCTCGCCGGCCGTTTGCCTGCATAGCGCTCTGTCGTTAGGGCGTCCATGCCTCGGGCACGCCCCAGCGCACACACTTCTAGATAAAACCCCAACAAGCCCAACAGGCGCCACCAGCAGTGCCACACAGCCACCACACGCCACAGCAATGGCTCAAGCATCCCCCCCGGCGCCAGCAAGGGCTTGTTATAGGCGTTCAAGGCTGCTGTTTGACATGCTTCAAACCCTTAAACATCTAACCCTTGAAAAAATGCCCGCGCCGGCCGTTTTGCCTGCAATATCGCTCGGTCCGTTAGGGCGCCATGCCTCGGGCAACGCCCGCAGGCCAACAAGCCACCACAAGGCCACACAATTTGCTCAAGGCACCCCCCGGCCGCAGCAATGGCTTCTTATAGGCGTTCCGGCTGCCGTTTGACAGGCTTTCAAGACCCTTAAAACCCCTAAAATGCCTCGCCGGCCGTTTGCCTGCATAGCGCTCTGTCGTTAGGGCGTCCATGCCTCGGGCACGCCCGCAGGCAAAAGCCACCACAAGGCCACAGCAATGGCTCAAGGCATCCCCCGGCCGCAGCAATGGCTTCTTATAGGCGTTCAAGGCTGCCGTTTGACAGGCTTCAAACGCTTAAAACCCCTAAAATGCCTCGCCGGCCATTTGCCTGCATAGCGCTCTGTCGTTAGGGCGTCCATGCCTCGGGCACGCCCGCAGGCAAAAGCCACCACAAGGCCATAGCAATGGCTCAAGGCATCCCCCCGGCCGCAGCAATGGCTTCTTATCCCTTTCAAGGCTGCCTTTGCCATCCTTCACACCCTAAAAAAAACCCCTAAAATGCCTCGCCGGCCGTTTGCCTGCATAGCGCTCTGTCGTTAGGGCGTCCATGCCTCGGGCACGCCCGCAGGCAAAAGCCACCACAAGGCCACAGCAATGGCTCAAGGCATCCCCCGGCCGCAGCAATGGCTTCTTATAGGCGTTCAAGGCTGCCGTTTGACAGGCTTCAAACGCTTAAAACCCCTAAAATGCCTCGCCGGCCATTTGCCTGCATAGCGCTCTGTCGTTAGGGCGTCCATGCCTCGGGCACGCCCGCAGGCAAAAGCCACCACAAGGCCATAGCAATGGCTCAAGGCATCCCCCCGGCCGCAGCAATGGCTTCTTATAGGCGTTCAAGCCTGCCGTTTGCCAGCCTTCAAACCCTTACAATGCTTCCAATACTCCGCCGGCCGGTTGCACCAAGCCCTGTAGCCGTCAGCCCCTGCTGTTCCAGCGTTGCAGCCTGCCGTTTGCCTGCACAGAGCCCAACACGCGCCACTCCCGCATGCACAACGCCCAACTTCGCAGGCAAACGGTACCCCAACAAGCCCAACAGGCGCCACGCCCGCAGGCAAAAGCCACCACAAGGCCACAGCAATGGCTCAAGGCATCCCCCCGGCCGCAGCAATGGCTTGTTATAGGCGTTCAAGGCTGCCGTTTGACAGGCTTCAAACCCTTAAAACCCTTCAAATGCCTCGCCGGCCGTTTGCCTGCATAGCGCTCTATCGTTAGGGCATCCATGCCTCGGGCACGCCCGCAGGCAAAAGCCACCACAAGGCCACAGCAATGGCTCAAGGCATCCCCCCGGCCGCAGCAATGGCTTCTTATAGGCGTTCACGGCTGCCGTTTGACAGGCTTCAAA